TCTCGTCCCCAGATCCTTCACCTCACCAGCCGAAGGACTGGCTCGGGGCTTCAGGAGTGACTGTAGAGCTGATCGCCCGGGCCAGAGCGACACACGGCTCCCCAGCAGGTTCTCTAAAAGCGTGTTGGGCAACAGTGATTTAGGAGGATAACTCACACGCAAGGGCAAAACCTAGGAACCATCACCATCCTCTAATATCACGAGGACACAAGGTCTCTTAATGAGGCACTGACCTCCCGTAATGAATCTGGTGTCAGTGGCAGAGGTCCGTGGCAACATTAAACAAAATGTCATTTTAAGGTGTCACTATTTGTTTCTGACCCATTATAGTCTAAGAAACTATATTGTCCCCAAGGTGAAAATATTTATGGAAACACAGTGCTTCTGTACATCTAAACACCTCCACAACATTACATATCACAACTATTGCACATTCAAAGCCCATAAACACCATAGTCACGACACATCGCATATATATAATGCGTAACAGCATAACCAGTTTACACTGACACAGTTGCATTAACCCCTGCCAGTTATTTGCATTAACAGAGAAGGGAAGAAATAAATATCTGGATCTATTTGAACATCTTTAACCTTACAAAGAAGCCGACATCCAGAAGTAACAAAAATGAACAGGATCTGACATCACGTTTCCACCCCTCCAATCGCGGATTGTTCAAAACGAGCGTGCAAGGAGGAGTGCTGTCTCACTCGCACAACTTTCACCACTGTTTGGACCAGATGGGCAATTGTGCACTAATTATTGGACCAACCAAACCCCACTGTTAAATCTTATCTAATAAGACTCAATTACAGCAGGGTAAAAGAGGAGCATTCTGTCCCACTCCAAACACTCGTCATCTCTGTAAACACTGGGGACCCTGCTTTCCTGTGCAGTAGCATTCTACAGGAAGCCAACACGCTGCGCTTTCAGGGGTGTTCAGTCAGGGGTAGTCAAAACAGACATTCACAAGGTACACCTGTCATTTATCCAGGTCTTCTTATCAAAACTAGGAAGGTCTAAATCAACTAACATTACTCATTTGCAAAAAAGAGAAACATGTCCATGGCAACCGTGCAGACCGTTGGCACAACAACTGGAGCTGCAAATTCGGAACAGGAAGTATGCTGGTCCCACGCTTCAGACAGCAGAAGGCATGGGCTCTTATCGTGCCAGCCCATCTCCCCTTGGGGAGGGCACGCTGATCACACCGCCTTCACGGATGCCGAGAATACTCTTCCCTGCAGCTGAACGAACGAACCTGGTCTTCGGTTCCGCAGCTCCGCCAGCGCCCCACCTCCCGGGACGCTGGAGTTCGGAAATACCAGCAGCTGGAATCTCCCTGTACCTGCCTGGGAGCTCACCTGTACCCCAGGGTACTGGAATCTGTTCATGCCGCAGAACTGATCCAGCACCGTTCTGCCGATATGCTTGGCAGCTCGAACACTTGCTGGCACGAGTTTTCCTTCGAAAGCTGCCGGCTGCATCTTCCACAGAGGGATGCCAAGTGCTATATCTGAGAGGAGCAATGATCAACTGCCCCCATGATCTGCAGGACTGCCTCGGATTGCTCTCCACAGCCCCCTGCGCCCTTCACTGCCTTTACAGAACGACATCAATGTCACCCCCGACGTTTACCGACAGAACCTCCCAACATCACGTTCCTGTCGGGCCAGGAACACGAGTGCTCCCTGCGATGTGCGTTTGCATAAACTCACAGTCGGACTCTCCCCTAAACACACACAGGTCCTGGTGTCAAGACAAAGGTTAGGGAAAGAGCAACAACAAAGATTGCAATTCTTTTCAGAGAGAACTGAGCTGAATCACAGAACACAGGCACTTATTCGGGCACATACAGCTTCTTTCACCAGTTCATTCTGCGATGACAGTATTGTCCCTGTGGCATTCTGTAGACATCCTACAATAATGACAGCCATCGTATGACGAACGTGCTTTAGAGATATGCAAGTACCCCACATCTTTTTTTAAAAACATAACTCAAGAAAACTCTTCAGGCGTGATCGTTAAGGAATACATATCAGTAACGCAAGATCAGGAGGTCTCATACTGGGGGCTCAAGCATTATTGGCACCCTTGATAAAGATGAACAAATAAAGTTGTATAAAACAGACAGCTCAGATAAAAAGCTGTATTTTATGCCCCCAAAACATGGGAAAACAGTAGGCTTTTATTCTAATACAACAATTTCAAATGTTTTTTAAATGATTATTTTTTCTCAAAAACATAGGAATTATTGCATTCCTTGTTTCTTGTACTTGGTGCAGCCTCCTCTGGCACAAAGCCTTTTCCTAGCATGTTTAATAAGGCTGGAGCACACATGGGGAGAGACCTAAGACCACCATTCCTCTGTGCTTAGTGACTGTCCTCTTCAATTCAGACCGCGGGTTTTCAATCAGATTTAAGTCTGGAAACGGAGTAGGCAATCGCAAAATGTTGACCTTGTATTCAGTCAAGCGTCTCTTTGTTGAATTTGAGGTGACCTGAGGGTCGCTGTCGCGCTGGAAGGTCCACCTGCGACCAAGTGGCTGCTTTCTGGCCAGCACCGCCCGATCCTTAGTAGAGATCAGGATGCCATCGATCTTAACAAGGGGCCCAGAGCCAGTGGCAGCAACACAGCCCCCCCGATAGCAACATGATAACAACATCACTTTATTAACCCTTTACAATTTCTTGCATTAGGAATTGTCTTTTCACATACCCCAGCTTGCTCTCCATGAGACATACAGATAGGGAGAGAGCCTGGGGTCAGAGTGCAGGGTCAGCCATTGTAGAGCGCCCCTGGAGCAGGTGGGGTTAAGGGCCTTGCTCAGGAGCCCAGCGGAGTAGGATTCCTCTGCCGGCTGTGGGATTTGAACCGGCAACCTTCCAGCCACAGGTGCAGATCCTGAGCCACAGAGCCACTGCTCCGCCCCAATAGCCATCCACCACCACATTTCACAGTGGGTACGAAGGTTCTTCCCTTTGAATGTTCCTCTTCTAACCCCAAACATACTGATGGGGCGAGAGGCCAAAGAGTTCAATTTTGGTCTCATCTGACCAGAGCAGCCGGTTCTAATCAAAGTCCCAGTGGTGTCTAGCAAACTCCACTTGTTTTTTGTTGGCCCCAGGGGCTTTCTTCTGGCAACCCCCTCAAAACAGCCTGTTGGCATGGGTGTACCGTCTATTTGTTTGTTGATGTGGAGACCTGGTGACTTCAAGATGCCACCAGATGCTGCACGTCTCCAGCTGTGACCCTGCGTTCTTATTTGCCTCCCTCACCATCTTCCTCCCTGCGTGTGGGGCCCAGATGTCCTTGTGTCCTCTTCCTGGTAGTAAACCACTGTTTTACCGGCTCCACACTTCTTGATTATTGCCCTAATAGTACTAAGTGGGATATTGAACTTTTCATGCATTTTACTTGATTTGTGAAGATCAGCCTCCATGTGTCTCTTTCGACTCATCAGTTCTTTGCCTTTTGCCCCATGGCGATGGATAACATAAGGCTTTCTCATGTGTATTACCTATTTTTTCATACTCTTGTGGGAAAAAAAAACATTCCTATGGACTGAGATGTACTTAAATAAGCAGGATTTCACTGCAGATTACAGTTAGTTTTGGTTTTCTCTAAAAATGCAGGGAGTAGTATGACTCATTTAAAAACATTCATTTAGAAATTACTGTTTCAGAATAAAAGCCTGTCGTTTTCCCCATTTTTGGAGGCATACGATATAGCCCATCTGTGCTATTTATACTTTATCATCTTTATCAAGTGCCAATAAATATTGAGCCCACTGTATTAATTCATCTATACAAATGAGATATACTTGACAGAGACAAGTGGAGAAGAGCAACCCAAGCAGCTGACCCCAGGACAGTCTGGGACTAAGGCTGTGAAAAAGAAGACGAAGAAGAAATGAGATGAAAATGCAGGGAACTTCTGATAATTTATTAAAGTACGCATACAATACGGCCCCAATAGGACTGTTTATTGGGGATGACAGAAGGGGAGGAGAGTGACTTTGAATAAGTCATGACTTTGATAAGCACACTGGAAGGGAGGTGTCGGTCGAACATTCTTCATAATAATGTTGACAAAACTAAAAAAAACTGGCTACTTGTGACAGTAAAAAGCCAGATTTACAACCTCTCTCCCTCGGTTCAGTGTTTCAGTTACCTAGGAACAGTAACAGATGACGATTTAAACTTTACCAAGAATACCAACTGCATTTTTAGGACAACTAGCCAGCATATATTTTTGATCAGGACGCTGAAAGGCTGGGGGTGAGTCAAAACGTTTTAGAGAGGGCTTATAGTGTAAGCAGAAAACATCCTTACTTTTGGTAGTGTTGTATGGCAGCCTCAGCATTCAGAGTAAAGGAAACCGGCTAGAATTGTTAACATCGAAAGTAAAATAACCGGCCGAGCGCAGAAAGAGCTTCAAGAGCTGTACTCTACTGCAGTTCAAAGGAAAACTCATCTCATCATCGACGACCCCTCCCACCCTCTTCAAGCCCATTTCCAGCTGCTGTCTTCAGGGAGGAGGTTCAGACAGCCTGTGGCCAGGAGAAATGGAAATATGTCCTCCTCCCTGTGCCACCGGTATCTCGAAGTGACTGTTTCTGTATGAAGTGATGGGATTAGTGAGGTGACGGTGTGATACCGGCAGAGCGAGATATGTGTATGTGTAGTGTGTGTCTAGTGTAACATGTGCAAGACTATCGCATATCCTGAATGTGTATTTTATGCTGAGAGGTATTTGTTTCTGTAAGTGTGTCCGGTGATGTCAAAGACACGTTTCCACCCTTCCGGGTTGACAATTAAGTTTTTTGAATAAATGACCAGGTCGAGTGACAGGACTCAAACGGACGGACTCCCGAGAGCTACCCCTTTTTGTCTGCTGATTCCCCCATTACATATATCACCCCCATGCCTGCTTTTCACCACAAGCGACGTCTTTCGCGGTTCTTACAGCACTCGGGTAAAATTAGGAGCGTCTTACCTATTCCGGGGGCCACGTAAATGAAGTAGAGACAGGACGTGGAGAGCGAAAAGAAAAAAATAAAGGCCAGGAAGGACCGGTTGGACACTCGCAGCAGCCTCCTCAAATTTACCATCTTTGCTCACAGCCGCCGATCACACAGGAATAAAAATAATCCCATAAAAGATTTTTTTTTAAAAAAAAGAAATCCTTCAACTGTTTACTCCAAAGGCGGCAATAACTATGTTTAAAAGAGTCATTTAAAAAAAATTAACTGCCGATACAGTTCGCATCCTTTATGCCGGGGGATGCAGTAAAAAAAAAAAAAAATGCTTTGTAGTCAGAAAACCCGAACTGCTTTCCTGAGCAAGAAATTTCCAGACTGAAAAGCGGGCCTCGTCAAACCCCGCAGAGCCCACACTGCGATTGTCGGAAGGGCATCGTGGTGCCGATCACATCAGCTCAGCGAAACGGAATCTGCTCTTTTTTTTATTCGTCAGAAAAGCAAATGGACATATTCCTTCATGTTTAGATTTCCTTCTTTCCTCCGACAGTGAAGAAGTGTAAAACGATCCTGGGTTGGTGGGGGGGGGGGGAGAGAAACTGGTCTGTGTCGCCTCCTCCCACTCACCGAATCCGCTGCTGTTTTCCCAAATAATCACTGAGTCCGACCCGAATCTTTTCCGGAATAGCCCGACGTGCGGTGTTGGAAACACATCGGATGCAGCAGGCGGTTGCAGATGCGCCGAAAACACATTTAGGGTTGTAATTTAAGGAACCGGATCCCCCCCAGAATTAAGTCAGGTCTCGCTCCAATTCATTTCTGCGGGTGCCATTGCGGACTTTGTTTCCGGTGGGTGTTGCCGCCGGGCCCCTTCGCCCCCGCCCTTCCTACATTCACCATGGCAACCGCTCAGACTGCAGTGAGGAGCTGTGAGGTCATCCCGCTGTGTTTGGCGTGCTGTCACGTGACCGGCCCCGCCACGCCTGTGTGCTGACGTCAGTGCAGCGCGGCCCGTCACCCCGTTACTGTGCTGCCGAGGGGAGCAGCGCTATGTCATGAGCCCGCTCGCCGTGTTGGGGTTGGTGAGACTGTTTCTGCCTTGAAATACAGGCAAAAATAGTTATGGAACTATTTTAATTAAGACATTTAGGTTAGTACAAAATTCACGCATGAAGGCTCTTAGTTCGTTTCGTTTGTCCCTGTATGATTTATATTTGTCTTTACATTTATAAATGTCTCTTACGTGCCTGTGATGCGTTTTCGTGTTCTTTCCTCGATTCGCACCTCTGTAAACGTTTATTTCATGTATGTAAGCACGTGTAATTAGATCACATTATATTTGTGGGGCTAGTTCTGCCGGAAGAATCTCGACCCATGTCCTCAATGTACACTCAACAAAATGAGGAATCATTCGATGTCATACTGAATCAGACTTCCCAAACAGTAAACAGGTTCAGAATAAAGGAGTACTGGGTTGTGGGCAGGTGCAATAAGTGGATTATGTATGAAGTAAGAGGGGTAACGTGTAATTATACGGGCGTAGTGTGCAGTAATTGTGGGGAGAGTACAATTACAGGATCTGGTGCAGTGTGCAATCCTTTAAGAGTGGTGTGAAATGAATATGTGTAGGTAGCTGTCTTATGTCGTATAGGATTTGTGAGGTCATGTTTACTTCTACTGCTCGTAGGTTTCCGTGTGCGCTTAATGCAAAACACATTTCTGAGAAATGAAATATTATCGTTAAGTCACGTCGCATTTTTCAACAAGTGCTGGCTAGCTGATTCAAACGTCCTCTTTCCTGCAGAGTTAGACCTGTAAGAACACTAGACGCACTTAACAGTTTGAGTTTTATATGTGAAAGTAAGGTTTTCCACAAAACCACTTGGATACTAAAGATTTACAATTGGTAGGGTAATAATTAGTATTCTAGCTAAAAGAACCCAGTACAAGCACATTGCACATCTCTTCATTGTTGGCAAGTCACAATAAGTTGCACACGCTTGTTCAAACATCATTCTCTGCAATGTCACATTTTAGTGCATCAGGAATATATATATTTAACTTTACAAGGAATTGCAGTCCTAGAAATGTTCAAATGTTCCTGAATGACAAAGTCAACCTGGTGGCTAAGGTTGTGTTCAGACATGAATCAAGGATCACAGAGCACATGGGGCAGTGCATTTAGACCTGTGAACAATATGCACAAAGGCTTGTGGGCACCTCAGCAGCCGTTTTCCTAGAAGGATCCTTCAAGATCCCTGGATCAACAAACTGATAGCAAACAGAGGAATGTTGTAGATTTGTGGGGCAATTAGATGATGTCATACTTAACATCTAGTACTGTACAGTATGTTAAATGTTTTGTGTTCTCACTGTATATGAGTGCAAAGACTTTTACCAAAAGCCCAGAGTAAAATATTACTTTTTGATTCAAAAAGTATTTCATTTTCAAAAATCCAGTATATCTTAATCATACTGCAGTCATTTACAGCAATATGACGCGTATTCCGACAGATGATGAAAGAAGATGAAAGTCTAGAACTTGTCTACTAAAACCAAATAGATGGACACATTAAAGAATTCATGTATGTGGTCTGGGAAGTTTCATGGAAAAGTGATGAAGTACTCTATATCAAAGTAAAGGAGGACTATACTGAAAAGTGGTATACTGTAAATTCTGAATGTGCCTTATATAAAGTGCCTTGTTCTATTGATCAACCTTGTATTTCATGCCTACTTTTGATAAATTATATTCTGCTTCCCTTCTGTGATACATAGGCCATGGTTTTCAAGTGTGTCATCCGATTGGTTTTTAACGATGTAACATGAATGTCAGTGAGGTTGATCAGGTCTTTTTGGATGTGGTCATGGATTTTTTCAATACTTTCCTTATGTGCACATACCCTCAAAACTGCACTACGCAGTTCATGTATTTTGCATGCTAGTGTAACAGGTCTCAGGGGGTGTAAGATGAGACTGTAACAGTGATGTCACTGGGAGATCAAACCCTGTCCAAGAACTAGCTGCACTGACCACACCTACATCTTCACTCATTGTACAATAACTGGTGTATTTTTAGCTTTGCCACTCTGTGACTAGAGACACGAGTTTCTGAGTAAAATGGACTCTTATTCATGATCTCACAGTATACAATGTGGACGCAGAGAATTTGAACACATAAGAACATAAGAAAGGTTACGAATGAGAGAAGGCCGTACGCCCATGTCACACTCAGGCGTGCTGTGGGTATTTATTGGGCTCACAGTAAATAAGTGCACTTGGCAAATAAAATTGGCAGCTGGAGAATTAAAATGAGTGCAATAGAGAGATGTAGTTGAGATTGAAGAAGTGACAGATGCTGTTGGGAAATGGACAAGTGCTGTAAGCAGTGTTGGTGGTCCAGTAGGAGGCACTCATCCCTCTGGACCTGAATTTATGACCTATCACCCCAGCAGGCTTAGTGAAGGATGTGTAGCTACTGTACCTCAGATGACAGTAAACCCAAGTCAACACTGCTTGGTGATTGCTCTCTACCTAAGAGTATGGGTGTTATGCTCCGTGTCCTGGCAAAATCTACTTTGAGCTTGCACAATATGGCTTCTCCAAATCCCCTTATTAATTCTATTGGTGAAGCTCTTTTTCATTTAAAGACTGTCAAGCAAAGCCCAGGATGGTAGTACACTGCAGTGGCAGATTAAGTTAGCTTCTTCTGTATGTAAAGCGCTTTGAGATCCTTTGAACTGGAAAGGACCACATTAGTTCAATTAATTACACTGATCATTAAAAGGAAACTATTTTATATTTCGGGGTTAAAAAGAATGAGCATTGATGAGTGCATTTCAAACCACAATAAAAAGAAATAAAAATAAACAGTAACTGGTAAAACCTCCAATCTCTACATGTACACCTCAAACGAGATGAAATTTCCAGGTATGCGCAGTGCCATATTCTTCAAATCAGAACAAGACAGCAAAACGTCCGGTGATGTATTGTGGCCTTATGACATTGCAAAAAATCAGACTTGTGAATCCATCTCTTTTAATCCAATAGAAATATTGCTCTCGACTTCCAGATGGTTTTGCCGACAAATACTACTTACTCGTTAACTCTGCACACAGATCACGTTGGAACATGTCTGCAGTGAAACGTCTGCTGCACAGCCTGTCCTTATTCACTCATACACCACATCACATTCGTCATTACAGTGACTAGTGAGCAGGAAGGGGCCACATCAGGTCGCAGTTCATGGGAAATTTCAATGGCGCCTGTGGTGAGACCGGGGACTTGCGACAACTTGGTGATTTGCAGTACTTTCGCAAAGGTCACAATTTTGTGCTTTATTCGAAAATGTGTCATTTTTGTCTATAACATCAATAAATTTATTTTGTTACTGAGTTTTAATAACTGGCCTGAGAAATTGGGAGTGCAGTTCCCCTTTAATGATGCTGCTCCTCAGTTCTGAGAGTAGGCGATTCCGTCATCGAGAGGTGAAGGTGTTGAGTGAACAGGCTCTGGGAAAAGAACAGGAAGGGGAACACAGAAACGCAACACAGAACATCTAGGGAATAGGGGCAGTGGATAAGGCAAGATGGGATGTTGACATAGATGAGAGATGACACAGGCAGGAGTAGAGTAGCTGAGACTTTGGTGAGTGTGAATTAGGGTTAGGAATAGTGCAGGTAGCAAGGGAACAGCATGAGAAAAGCAAGCAAGAGGAAATACGAGACAAGTGACAGAATTCGGGATGAGCTGGAGTGCATGGATAGCACTGGCAGGGAGGATGGCGAAGAGGGAGTAATACAATACAGTGTCTTCAGAAAGTATTCACCTCCCTTGGATTTTTTCACAGTTGGTTATTTTGCAAAATACATTTACGGTACATGGGACTCTGTCTCTGATCTACACACATTATTCTGTGATGTCAAAGTGGAATGAAACATTCTTCACATTGTTTTTTCATGGAAGTTAAAAGAACACACCTCTGTGTCTCGATCTGATTAGTAGAACGGCTGAGAGGTAAGACAGGATTTCTCCTGCCAGGCTGGGACACAGCTGGGCTGGACACCCACTGCATCAGAAGCAAGAGGCAGGCAAGAAGAAAAAAGCTAGAGCTGAAAGCATGGGGCACAACAAGGGGGAAGGCTGAAACAGGACTGAGGGAGGAGAGAGGAGAGAGAAGAAACGGAGCCCGAAGCTGACAGCACAGGCACGACACCTGAAGCTCACTGTTAGACGCTTACTTACCACCCAGTGCGACTGTTTTAACTTTGTTCTTGTCTGCAGCTGGAGGAGAACTCAATCTGGCAGTGAATGCTTAAATGGGAGGGCATATATGCATTATGCTTTTGCACAGGAATAAGTAATGTCAAATTCTTCTATGCTGAAGAGTGGAAAGAAGTAAAAAAACCCAGCATTTCGGCAAAATCTTGAAACCCTTTCAGATTAACCCTTGAAATGAAGCAAGAAAGTGAATGAAATCATCAGCTTGTCACTTAGGAGGGCTTTGATTCTACAGAGCAAATACACTTCTCTTGTAGGAAAGAGAGCAGCATGTAGACGTGACTGTTTCAGAAGAATGAAGAGGTCACCTTCCAGAGGACAGTCCTTTCAACAAGAGAATACCTGCAGGTAGATAACATGTGACAACATAAACACAGGGATGATACCATACTCTAGTCCCAGAAGGAGGGACAAAAAACATTGTAAAGGGTCAATTTAATTTGTTTCATCTAGGGAGGCAAACGTCTTTATATTATTAGATATTAATATACCTTTTTCATTCTGGTGGGTAGCTGCGTCAGCATGCGTAGGCTGCAAAGGAACAAGTAATAGGTTTATTCCATGCTGAAAAAAAGAAGAAAGAGAACACAACGTTTCGGCCGTGGAGCCTTCTTCAGGTGTGTGACTTCTTCAGGTGTGTGACATCACACACCTGAAGAAGGCTCCACGGCCGAAACGTTGTGTTCTCTTTCTTCTTTTTTTCAGCATGGAATAAACCTATTACTTGTCACTTTTTCATTGCCTTTAGCACCCTCCAAAGGGCTTTTTACAGGTCTATTCAGTGTAGCATTAATTTCCAGTCATTTTGCCAAACAAAATCAGCTTGAATTTCTTCTTGTAAAAGCACATAGTTACAAATGGGAAATATGAAAATAGAGCGTATCAGAAATAGGCCAAACATATTAATCAATAACACCTCACCCCTGAAGAAGGCTCCATGGCCGAAATGTTGTGTTTTCTTTCTTCTTTTTTTCAGCATGGAATAAACCTGTTACTTGTTCCTTTACATATTAATCACTCTCTCTCTCTCATCCTAGCGTTAATCCCACATCAGCAGGGTCTGCTTGTCGGCACGCCCGTCTCCATTTGGTGGTTTGAACCAAATCTTTGAGCTGACGTGGCCATTAAATGCGACCCAGAATACTCCAACCGGCACGTCGCTCCGCCTGCCGTCGGTCCATATTAATCAATAAGTCAATTAAATAATCATAACCCCCAAATTATAAAGATTTTGCCATTTTACCACAGGCGGTTAGTATAATTGGAGGCACCTGGGTTCTTTGTTCTCTGGCACAGCTTTCGGGAAAAGAATAATAATTCATGTGCACTGGGTTAAACATTTATTAATAATAATAATGCACACACCAAATACCACACAACATGAACATACAGCATACATGATAAGCTATTGACAAGGCATCCCAGAGGCCTGTGTTTTGACCAACCAGAAAACCCTAGACTTCTACCAAGTATTCAAATCCTGTATAACACAGGCCAACAAGAGAAATAAATCTGCTCTATAAACTCCCGATTCCAAAAATGCATTCATTAACCAGGAGAGATTGTTTTTAATTGAGGGATTCTCTGTACAGGAAATGAAAGTTTCCATATAAACAGCAGAATGGCAAGCTCTCTTAAGAAGGTTCAAGTCCTTAAATGGAATCTGGTCTTTACGGAAGATCTGGACAAGATCCCTTCTCCTTCTTTCTCTTCTTGTCCTCCTGCCTTCTCCCCCTTCTGTCTACCTGCCATTTCATGCTGTGATCCCCAACTGTCCACGACACTATATTTGTTTACCCAGGGCTTAAGTAAGCTAGGCAAAGCAGATGATTCCTTTGATCAGTGTTTCACTCAGTACAACTCAGTAAACACTGTAGCTCCGTTCTTGCTTCAAAGTTCCCCGAGTCCTGTAAATAATGACATTAGCCAGGTGTTAACCATCGTCTCTGGATTCTTAAATATGCTTCAGCAGCCCCTTCCAGGAACCATAATAATATCACATCAAAAATAGGTGTCCTATCTATTTTAAACTTTTGTTTAGGCTGCAAAAGCAGTACAGTAAAATATTGCCTCGTACTGCAATCTGTTGATGGGAATGTGCAACAGCTCCCCCTGCTGTCTAGCCACACAGAAGCCACCTGTGTTGAACAATGAATGGGGAAATGTCCCTGGTTTTTCTGTTGTATCCATTATTTCTAACATCATTAGTTCTAATATTTTTGTTACAATAGTATTTATGTTACATTTCAAATTTAGAACATTTTAGTCCATTTTGGATAATCTTGGATTGCAAGCCTCTGTTTAGTTCATTTCCTAACTGTTTTGTTCCATATTCTTCTTTTTTCAAATGGAGTTTTATCCAAATATTTTCTTGAAAAAGTGAATTTTTCATTGATGGAACATATAACAATACCTAGCCTACGTTTTTAATACATCCAGTATCAACTTAATTATCAATATTTCTGTTTTTTTTTTCTCTCTGTTTTGGTACAGATGCACAGCACAAGCACAAGGTTTTACATCAATAGCTCCCTGGGTGCAATGTTCAGCTCAAGTCTTATGATTTCATCAAAATATTACTCAGTGTGCGGTATCTGAAATAGAAGGAGATGTACAAACTGCCATTCAAAAACCAAGATTGTAATTAATGAATGAACAGCAAAAAATACCATTAAGTCCTGCTGGGGTACTGATAGACATGTTGTTGCTCTCGGCGTGATGAAAGGTAGCCCTCTGTGAGACAGGTTGCCAGGAGAATGAGAAGCTCTGCTTGAACATCCAGACACTTTGTGCAGAGAAGCCAGGAAGCTGACTCTGTGGGGGACAGGCTTCATCCTTGTGAATGACCCTCACAAGCTGAGTCCTGTACTTCCTCACTTGCAGACCTGGAGAGACATAACCAAGCAGAAATAATAGACGTAATTCAGGAAGATACAATCCCAGTAGCAGCAGAATGACAGTAGCTCACTCTCGGCGTGAAGAAGATCTCTGTTCCCGTGTAACCCCTTGAAAACCCAGAGGCTACGTTCTGTGGACCAGAAAACACCAGAGGTGGTCGAGTGGTGGTGAAGGGTTTCATTTACCATTGAGTGACGATTTGCTCTTGACAGACCTGATGGAAGACAGCATGCATGGAGACATTGTGAGGAGCCTTCTGCCGATTAACAGAGGGCAATGGTGACTTGATGGACTGGGGAGGATTCTTCTCCCCTATATTTCTTGAGCCAATGTTGTTCCAGCATTCTGGTGCAGAAGTGCTGATTTTGCAGCAAGAGAATGGAGGGCCACACAGTTGCTAGGATTACAGTGGCATGAGTTCTCCTTGCCTGAGTACAACAGGACGTCTTTGGGACCAAGTCACAAGTGTCGTCAACAGGAGACAACCTTGACTGGGAAACCTCTTCCATTGGCAGCAGTTATATACTGTTGGAGGAGTGACAGGACATCAAACTGCATGAGATGCGGTGCTGTGGCTTGTCGTGTAGCTTGCTGGTCTGCGGTTGGTGAGACTCCGCAGAATAAACTGCTCTCGGTGAAGGTCTGGGTTCAAATCCACTGAGTGCAGGGCCTTTGGGTGGAGCAGTGGCACTGTGGCTGGAAGGTTGCTGGTTCAAATCCCATGGCTGGCAGAGGAATCCTACTCCGTTGGGCCCCTGAGCCAGGTCCTTAGTCCCCAACTGCTCCAGGGGGCACCTCATCAATGGCTGACCTTGTGCTCTGACTCCCAGCTTCTCTCTCCCCGTCTGTGTGTCTCATGGAGAGCAAGTTGGGGTATGTGAAAAGACAAATTCCTAATGCAAGAAATTCTGTAGGGCTAATAGAGTGATCTGATCTTATATGCAGAACCAGACTGGGACAAAGTGGTGATAATAGTTTTGTAAATCTATTTATATTGAGCCCTGACTTAGAAAATGGGAAGATGGATATTTACATCAATACTCCATTACATTACATATGAAACATAAATATATATTACTATTCTTTTATTTGATTTGTGTCTGTGTTTCAGATGTTTGAAATCCATAATTTCTACAAATTGAGTATTGCAATGGTACAGTATATACCAATACTATTCCGTCTCTTCTGGGAAAAAATAAAATGGCATGTTTGCTTTAATAGTGTAAAAGGGCTGATAAAGAGCTTCTGTTCCTAACAAAATACCTGAATTAACTTGCCTTAAGTGGTATGGACTGTTGCAAGACTGTAACGATAATAGACAAGGGTTTCCTGAACTGTAACCCGATACTTATGACTCATTTTGCTTTTCACGTCACAGCTGTTGGTCCAATGAAACTTTAATAAATAAGTTCCAGACATGCTGTTTTGTGAAAAGAAAAGCCCAGCTGTGGAATATGAAGCTGTGGATATAAGATGTTGTTTACCTCTCTTCAAAGGTATTCTAATGAGCAGAGAAGGGAGATCAAAGCATGAAAAAGAATGCTGGGCAAAGGGAGATGAAAAATGCTTTGTACTGTCGTTCAAAAACATCAGCAAGTTGGGCTCAATGACCTGGGTATAGTCAAACAAGTGCTCCAGTAAAATGTGAAATGAATTTGTGATGTTTTTGGCAATCAGAAGCAAACATGAGTGACAGTCACTGGCCGAACATGACTTAATCACAACGCCAGTGTGGGTTTGATTAGAGCTGTAGAACAGACCTACCCAGGAGACACAGCAACACCTGCACGAGTCACACTGAGTCTTTCCTACAGTAGGTTAAAAAGATTAAAGATCTCTCCAAGCCCATTGTTTCTCATTTCACCTCTGACGGCCACGACCACACTAATCTCTCCGTCTGTGTTCTCAAAGACGGTTTTCCGAACTCATACATCAGAAAGACCACTGAAACTAAAAAAACTACCCACCTGAACTACTTTCCTACAGTATATGTCCGCTGTAGAAGGGATCCACAAATCTATCATCACACAGCCCCCAAATGTCTTCATTAGTCCGATTTGTGCAGTCTTGAGTTTGCAGATAAAAGTATTCATATACAGACATGAGACACTGAATATGTCTATAACTGCTCGGCAAGTTTATGCAAATTGTTCAAAACAGTATGTCAGGAAATATTTTCAATACAGTGGCAGAGCATCAAACACTGAATTCATTTCTCATTTTTTGGTGGGTTATGTAACTGGGAAATTTCAAGTTTGTTGTGCCTAATAATATAAATTCTCTGTAAACATATCTTTATTCACTACTGTGATGAAGCGTTCGGTAGTAGATGTAGCTTTTTGTTTTTCTTTTATCTGCAGAAGAAAAAAATAAATTATTGTATTTTCATCTGAAGAACCTGAGAGGATATACTATATTTGCAGTGGAATGGCACAAAGGGCCTCCAAATAAAGCTAATAGCGAAGTCAAAACTGTTACTTTTGCTTCATAGCAAGTCGTATTTGCGATCATGAGATTAGTTTTGTATTTGGATAATAAGCACAATATATTATAGATCTAGTTTAGGGGAATTCCCTGCATATATCTAAGTATATTACAATGTCCAATCTAGTGACTATTCACTCAAAGTAAATTTCATGAGTCATGTGACAGTATTTAGATGCACCTTCCATTCTAACAATACCTGCATGATCTCTGCAGCCCGTTCGGATTAGAAACTGTGTGTATTCGTTAGAGGTCCTTTGCTAAGAGCTTGCTGTGGCCATTTTGAGGCTTTAGCAGAGTCTTTTGGGTCATCGTCATGCCGCATGGCAGAATCCCTTAGCTTTTCTATGGGTGAGTTTGAAAATGTCTTTTGTAAGTGAATTGGTCATATCTATAGCACAATGTTACAGGCTGACCTCTTTGTCTATGTCTCATATGTGGTATTTTACTTAACATTGCTGCTGTGGAATTAATCATTTGTTTCTGCATTTTCAGAAGACCTTCAAATCCTACAGTTGTAGCAGACCTGCACTCATTACTATAGAGAAACAGTGACAATGTCCTCTGGAATTTCTGATCTGATGTGATTGTTACTGAAAACAACAGAGGTTGCCAATAAATGTTAAAGCTGGGATCCCAAAAATGCATCAGGATTATATAAATTTGAATCAATAATTTAAAGATTATGACAGTTTTAGACACACCAGTGTCGGCATTGTTTGTGATAATAATCCCTGGCACCCTGGATTAACAGTTGCATCATACTTGTATAGTACAATATATACATTTGCATCCCTTGGAAAATGTTTTGGAGGGCCCACTTCTCATGTTTTCTATTTACCACTAGATGTCAGTGTTGCACAGCAGGTCTGTGATTTAGCCAGTATTTCGAAATAATAGCCAGTATTTTCTATAACATTTATAAAATAATATCTATTCATATCTATAGAACACTAAGCAAACTATTTTTTTTTTAGTAAAAGGTCTTGAGACAATAATCAAGACATTTAGTTTGGGTATGCCTCTCTGTGAAACCCCTAACTTAAGTCAAAATAAAACCAAAAAAATCTGGTTTAAGAATTTATAGGAGTAAATGTATAGTGTGCGCAACCTTTTTAACAAAGGAGTTTCACTATCAGAAATATTTAAAATAATTTAGTTAAAAAGTTCTCTAATATATTGGCAGGTGTAATCAATGAAGACTAGACAGGATTTAGGAAAACAAAAACAAAATATGTTGATATATTTTTGACAGGGAACAAAAATAAATTAAAAAGAGAAAATTCAATGTTTTAAGTCAGTAGACATTACTCTCTACCTCTCTCTATTGCAACAAAAGCAGGGGACCAATTATAGCTGATACAGTTTTTAACAAAACAAATCTACATTTCATTCATGTTAAGTTTGGAGCCATAGGAATTTTCCTTCACCACTGAATTCCTTCATTCACAACTTATCAAAATCACAGCTCTTATTCAAGAAATAGATACAATAATACAATTTCAAATGTCTAATTTTACTACCAGTGTCTCTCCCTCAAACACATGCAGACTAAAAACAAAACAAAAAACAGCCTTCAGCATTCATGCAGAGATGACTTCGTTATGCTCTACGTCGTACTGTGATACTCTCTGCAAGTGGTGATCCTCCTTATTAGCTCAATCCTCAGGCTAAATTGGGAGCCAAGCAGAATTGAAATAAGTTAGACAACATAATTAAACAACGGTGTATTGCTTATTTATGTGTATTAACCTGCAATGCATGACTAATCCAACGATATCCTTTTCTAAATGATACACAAGGGAGAACAGTTTATTATTTTTCTTCACCGAGAAAGTATGAGGTTCGATTTGTGTTTGCCTTTAATCCTGTTGGTAGAAGCCCAGATTCACCACGGTCAATAAAGAAGTGGCGCATGGCACTTGTATCAAATGAAGAGATTCTATAACAGTAGGATTTACACTTCGTTTTTTAAAATCATCTCTTTCAGTTTTAATTAAACCCCATGAAAGCCAAACAATAATTAGGGGGCTGTTTGTTTTGGTGTAAACAGTATAAGTGGTCTCCATGGATTTGGACTCTTTCGTCAATCATTTTCTCATAAATGAATTCCATGTTTGTATAATCTTGTTGAATTTAATTGAGAGCACTGTTGATTTCAAGTAGCTCAGTTGTTGGCAATCTTTTGCTCAAGGAATGTAAGATTCTCCAGATTTATTTTCATTTAACTAACTACTACATAAACAAGCCAATTACTTTATACAGGTATGCCGAAAAAAATTGAAATTGTCCAGGATTAAAGTATATTAGGATTCCTCTTAAACACGTAGGACTGTACTGTGCCAATTGTCACGGTCGACATCCCTCCCCTAGAGCGCGCTCCACTACTCCTGTCATGAGGTCTGTCTTTGATTACTGTATGTTCTTGAGGTGTGCCTTGATTTGCCTCTCTCTATTTATTCCCAGTGCCTCCAGTGCTCAGGGCTCAGCATTAGGGTTCGGATGTCGCGGGGCCCGCCTATCACCAGGCTGCTGGACACCTGAGGGCACAGGCCTCACCCCCGACATCGCCTGACCACTGAGCCCGGGGCCTGGAGGACCTCATCCCCATGATCCCAGGACTTCCGTGTTCATGTTTCCCCCCTCCCAGGGGTTTTAACCTTGTCTTGTCTCAGGATGGATCTCACGGTATCGCACACCTGGACTGTGCCCTGACCCTCCTTTGGACCTGTTCGGATTGGGAGGCCTCTCTTTGTTCCCCTGTTCACCCGTTCACGCACTGTCACTGCTATTGTGATGCACTACTAAACCCCTATGTGATTTCCCCGAACTATGTCTCCTATTTCCTCCACCTCATACCACTTCGCACAGGGCCTAACATAACACCCGCGACGGATTGTGGAGCCACTCCGTAACACCAAGGGACCCCAGGGCATCATCACCTGCAGAAATCAGAATGCAGGGACCTGCTGTCAATTCAGCACAATTACATCTTGGTTTTTTTAAAGAATACAGAGGGAATTCATCATCCTCTTCAACTCATTTTGCCCGTGATAAAATGTGGGACACATTGAAATGTCACACAATCCTTGTTTTTCCAAAGCTGTGCATTTTAGGAGCTGAGCTCCCACCCTTCTACAATTTGTTCTATCCCATTGATTTGGATAAAAGCACGTTTGAACAGAAAAAGCCCTTTCATTGCTCCTCCTGGTATTACTTTGCTAATGACCCGGCTGCTCCTGCTATTCTTACTGCTGTT